ACACTTGGTTGGATGCTTATTCACTCAATCAATGGTGATGGTAGCTTTACAGATGGGTCCTTCCACTTGCGACAATAGTTTAGTTGGCTAGGTTATGGAATCATCTTCCGTTTTGGTTGTTAGCAGTAGTAACCATATAGGGTTTGCTATTCAGGCTAAGCAAAGACCGCCTACGCAACCCTAATTGGTAGGATTGCAGTTTGAGCTCCTCAAATTCAATAGTTACTCCACGAAAATCCTTTGTCAAGTCCAGTAAACAAACCTCTGAATACCATTCCCATAGAAGCAGCCGAAGAGGATTACCCACTACTACAAAATCGATTTTTCATGGCATTACCCTATATTTTTCTCTGGCGGTTATACGTGGAAACCGCCATCGAAAATGGATCTTCACTGGCGACTGGGTTAAGAGAGCAGCTAGCAAAGATACAATTATTTTTGCTAGCGGACCTCTTAAGTGACAGCCAACGAAAATAGATTTTCGCTAGCGGTCAGTTAAGAGTGCCTCGAAAAACCCTACAAGTGCTATAAAAGAACAACGTCCTATCTATCTACAGGGAAATCTCACTCCCTCTTATCCTTATCTCCTCCTGTCCTCTCCCAGCTCTCTCTCTCTCTCTCTCTCTCTGTCTCCACTCTCGATCCCTCCTCCCTCCTCCCACCTCAGATCCGAGGCGGGGGCTCGCAGCGGCGGATCGAGGATCCAAGGTCGCGCAAGCTCTGCTGTCCACAACGACCTCGACCTACATCCGTATCCAGCGCCGATGGTGGTCAAAGGTGACAACCAGATATGGGCCTTGTACACGCCGCCCCAACCCCAGCTGAATCATCGGCTGTGCGGCTTTGGCTCCACCCCATCTCCATACCACGCAGTGGCCGACCCCTCCCCATCTCCCTCCCCCGCACCCGCAGTGGTGCTGCTTGCACCTCTTCTTTGTCAGCATGATAGCAGTGGCGATGAGAGGAAGTAGGAGAGGGAGAAGGAGCGGACAAAGCTGAGGGAGCGGAACTATCGGGCTATCACCAGTTGCGCACAAGAACAACGTCCTCGCCACACTCGCACACATCACCGCCGACGGTGGATCGACGACAGCAGCAGTGGATCCAGCAAACAAACCACTCGAAGACGACAGTTGCTCGGTGATGATGGTGTGCAGTGGATCCGGCGAGCGCATTGCCTGTTGATTTTTTTTGCGAAGTGTTGTGGAACTGTTTGTTCAAATTCAACTTAAGTTGATATGTTGTGGCTGTTGAATTGTTCATGTTGATCTCTTTGGATATGGATTGATGCTTGCATGTTCATGTGTATGGGAAATTGCAGGCAAAAGGGATTTGGGCAGGTGGTTTTCTTTAGTGCTGAAAAATATCATCACTGGCAGTGGGCTTAATCGAACCACCCACGAAAATTGATTTTCGCTGGCGGTGGGCTTAACCTAGCTGCTTGTGAAAATCGATTTTCACTAGCTGTGAAAACCCGCTTGTGAAGATTGCCGATTTTCACTAGCCTTTGATCACATGCGGGGAGATAAGACGCCTATGAAAGTGCTTTTTGACCACTAGAAAAGACCTTTTTCGTAGTAGTGACCGGTTTATCAAGCGGAGGACACGCCAAAAGAGGCACAAGGATATGATCGTCACGACAATTTCACAACTCGCCGCCAATGCACTCCTTTATTGATATTCAGGTTCACTACGAAGTATAGTTTTTTAATTGATTCGGCAAGCCTTCACCCTATATTTTTAATAGTAAATTGGTTGAGTATTTTTAAAAAGACATTATCTAATTCATTCATTTGACTACTTAAATAATAATCACAAACTGATAAATTTAATTTCATGCATCATCCGGCTCCGGCCACACCCAAAGGAAATGCAAGTGTGCAACCTACCTACACCCGGGCGTGCGACGGCAGGCACACACGCACGCACGGTCCCTATAGATAACCTACCTAACGATCGATCGACCCATTCACCCACACGTGCGCGTGGAGCCTAGCTTAGCTACCTCCAATCAAAGCCAGCAGAGACATGACATGGACCAGCAGCTGCCATTAGCTAAGGCTATCTTTAATTCAGCGCAAAGTTTGGATTTTGGTTGAAATTGGAGATGATGTGACTAAAAAGTTGTGTGTGTATGACAGGTTGATGTGATAGAAAAGGACTGAAGTTTAGATCGCGGGGACACACGACGACGACGACACACGTACGGCTAGCTAGCAACCAACTCGATCCAACGATCCATCGATCGGACACGGAGCTATAGCTAGTACAGAGGAATGGCCGGTGGCTCGTCGCCGTCGCCGCCGTCGGTCGCGGGCGCATGCGGCGCGGCTTGGCAACCGCCGGACCGCCGGGCTCCATCTCGCGAGCGTCTCTCCTAGCTTTCCGGTGGCGTCTCCACGTCCGTCCGTCCGTCCGTGCGTGCTCCGTCGCCGTGCTAGCTGCGCTGGCAGTGGCGCAAAGCTCCTAATCACTGAAAGCTCTCTTCTATCCCTTTTAGTACGGAGTAATTTGTAGGCCGATCGATACAGTTGTTAGGGCCTTGTCAACCTATATATATATCTTTTGTCAACCTATATATATATATCTTATGCCTAGTGTATTCCTAGTGTATTCACGTATTATTATATTAGAAATAATTAGCAAATTGTCCGCACGTTGCAACGGGGTAAAGCATAAACTAAGATTATTTATTTATCTATACCTATTTTATCTACTTCCAACAATTTTTGGCTCGTCGGTTGTTTGTTGCTGTCACACGTTTTTACAATGAAGAGTTGCTTGGAACCATCAACATTTACATTCTTCTACCCAAGATCAGAGGACACCATGTAGAATTTAAATCTTCATTTTTTTCTTTTTATTAGATGAGTTATGATATGTATAGGACCTGATAGGTTTTTTTGTTTGCCACTACACGAGAAACAGAAGATGGTTTGTTTGAGAAAACGTGTACTCCTCTAGTTATAAATATTTGATGTGGTTGACTTTAGAAATAAAGTTTGACCACTAATTTTATAAAAACATTATGTACATATTATTTATTTTGTTGTGACTTATTTTATGGTTAAATGTACTTTAAATGTTCCATCGTAAAAAGGAAAAAAAACTGGGTGCATTTATATTTTTTTATATTTGTACTAAATTTTCAAATAAGATGAATGATAAAAAATTAATACCAACTGCGTTAAATACTTATAAATAGAGGGGGTACTTTTAGTCCATACTAGGTGAAACCCCGCATGTTACTGCGGGAGTTTAGTATGATAACAATAAGTAAAAAAAAGTGTAAGATAGCTAAACAATATAAATTTACATACGTTGATATGGTATATGATAATTTAAATTTAAATAGTATATAGAATGATGATTCAAATATAAAAGTAAGATGGTGTGGTTTTATGAAATAAGAAAGGAAGTGAGATACTTTGGACCATAAATTAATCATCTAAGGCTAAAAATAATTGATGTGATATGGTTTAATGTGAGAAGAGAGAAATAACACTAACTAAGTGAGGATGAATCATATAGATATATATGATATTATAAAAAAATGATAAAGAGATATATTGAAATATTATGTAAATTATGTGGGATGATGATTTAACATGCTTACATTTTAAAACTCTAAAATTTAATAAATGATAAAATTATAGATAATATAACATACTTGCATGATGTTTGAATGTAATAATTGTTATTAGATGATGATGTGGCATCTTGTTAATGCATAATGATGTGGCATCTTTGCATCTTGAGCAATAGGATTTAGGGGTTAAAGATAGGATACAGATCATGCTTTCGTTGAAGGCCTGAAGCACACCCTCCTCAAGGTTCAAGGAAAAGAAAAACATGGGGATAGGGGAAGCAAACATGGATATGGGTCCTTGGGCGTCCAATGCAACCCTATTTTTAATCTGTGAGTTTCTGAAAACATCAAGGGCTAAAAAGGCATGTGGCTGCATTATTCATTTATTCCAAATCAATGTGTTCAAAGAGGTAAAAGCGACAAGGGCTTCAAAGTTTAAGGAAGAATACAATACAACACCACCAAATTTTGCCAAAACCAAAAAAGAGTATTTGTTCCCAGATCACAACATATCACAACAAAGTATTCATTTCTATAGAAGTTATACTACCTCCGTCCCAAAATATATAATGCCATTGAATTCTCAGAATGTTCATCTTATTTAAAAATTCACTATAAATATGTAAAGTGTATGTTAATATTATATTTTTTTTAATTATAACATATGTTACATCAAAATAAACATTATTTATATAATTTTTGGGATAAGATGAATGATCAAACGTTATACGAAAAGTCGATGACGTTATATATTTTGGAATAGATGGGGCACTTTTTGAGATTTTTTTTACAGAAATTATAGGGTTTGATTGATCCTGGATGTGCTCCAAGAATCAATGGCCTACTGTAAGTTCATAGCATAAACAAGACCAACGTAAAGATGCCTAACCATACACACTTAACTGTCCTATTAAAGAATGTTAACAGAACAATATATACTATCATGGAACACTAGAATATAATTTCATAACAAGAATCTCTAATATTTGTAACCAAAATAATTCGGAATTTCTTCTTTTTTTTTAACATTCATACCTATCCCTTCCTCACTTAACTGTGTTTGGGATGAGGGTTGGGAACCCTCGTTCCCTAGCATGTAAAATGAAGCAGCATTTAGCGTATGATGAATTATTAGCTAAAATAAATTTGAAAAAAAGATTAATATGATTTTTTAAATTAACTTTTGTATATAAAATTTTTATATAAAAAAGTACCATTTCGCAGTTTAAAAAGCACGTGGGCGAAAAACGAGAAAGATGTATCGGGAAAAGTAGAGAAAAGAACTCAGCCCAAAAAGACACCCAATTTTCTACCTCCCAAAGGACAAGACAAAACCACCTAAAATTTTGGAAAAGACAAAACAAAGGGCACAAAAACTAATCCACTCCCTAAAAAAAAATGCAACCATTAAACCCCACCTCCCCCCGCCTCGTCGTCTTCCTCCTCCCACTCTCGCACTTCTCGCATCGCAAAGCTCGGCAGCAAAAGCAAAGCAAAGCCAAGCCAAGCTTGAAGCTCCCCGCACTGAGCCAAGAAGCCTCCACCTCAATCCGAAAGAGATCTCGTGCGCGCACGGCGATGCGGTGAATCGGGCATGGCGCCGCCACAGGAGCGGGACTACATCGGGCTGTCGCCGGCGGCGGCGGCGGCGCTGGCAACGGAGCTGCGCCTTGGGCTGCCGGGGACTGCGGAGGAGGCTGAGTCGGAGGGCGGCGGAGGAGGAGGGACGGATGCGGCTCCGCTGACGCTCGAGCTGCTGCCCAAGGGCGGGGCCAAGCGCGGGTTCGCGGACGCCATCGTTGGGGGTCCCGCCGGCCAGCGGCGGGAGGCGGCCGGGGGCAAGGCGGCGGCGGCGGCGGCGGAGGCCGAGGAGGAGGAGGAGAAGAAGAAGGCGCAGGCGCCGGCGGCGAAGTAGGTGGACTCGGGACTCGGGTTGGTGTGCGTGGGTTCGCCGGTTGGTTGGCTGGCGGTTTAAGCTGATAAAAAAAAAAAGCTTTTCCCCCTTCTTTGCAAAAGTTTTCTCGTTTCATCGTCTTTTGGGGTGATTCATGGAATTTCCTGCGTGGGTTTATATGAACTTGGGTGAAATGAATTTTGGAGCTCTTCCTGATGAGGTTTCAAACTGCGAAGATGTTTTGGTCACTCGATTTTGGTCATGCACTTTGAGAAATTTAGGCGGTTTTGCCAAGAAAACAAATACGGTTTAGTTTTTGACGGGCTTCATTGAATTTCTTTTGTAGAAATCATATGATTTCCGCCATACTTCTTGTGGTTGATTTATTCCGAATTTCCTGATTATTTCGGAGTTTGGGCGTTCATGTTTGCCCAAACTTGTTAGTAAAATTTATCGTATATATTTAACTAAAGAGGAATTCTACCGAGAAAAATAGCTGTCTTTGTTCTGAGAAAGCTGGAGAAGCTTTCCTCCCCTCATCTTGTGGGGGTCACTGTTTCTACTGTCAAAAGTGCGCACTTTTGTGTACCTGTTCTCCATTTGCATGATGCCAATTGCCAATGGGCTTAAATTCACTGCAACAAGGCAGTGAGCGAAATTCTCCACTTCACATGGATTTTTATTCTCCCTGCTTTGGCGTATGTATCTTGCTGCGAATTTCAGCAGTTCATGTATAACTTTTTAAGCAACCTTGGAAGTGTATGGTTATCAGTGTTACAGTGTGTGTAATTCTGCAACAGGGCACAGGTGGTAGGATGGCCACCAATCCGCAGCTACAGGAAGAACACCATGGCGATGAGCCAGCCTGCTCTGAAAGGCAAAGACGACGGCGAGGCGAAGCAGGCTCCGGCATCCGGTTGCCTCTATGTCAAGGTGAGCATGGATGGTGCTCCTTACCTCAGGAAGGTGGACCTCAAGATGTACAAGAACTACAAGGAGCTCTCTTTGGCTCTGGAGAAGATGTTCAGCTGCTTTACCGTCGGTGAGCTCTCGTTTTTGCGCCTAATTTTTTCATTTCCTTGTTGCTGTTGTGAGGTAGTAGTTCTTTCTTTAACTGATGCTGTTCTTACCATATCGAGGTAGATCTAGTTTCCTTGGACTTGGAGACCAGACAATTCTCCATGCCATTTATATTAATTAAATGTGGATTTGTCACATTTGGCATTCTACATACTGTAGTCATGTAGTGTAACTGTTGGTTCAGTGCATAAAGAACTAGGGCCTGATGCTGTTGTTTGTTAAATATTAATGGTTTGCTGGATTACTTCTCATCCAATCATTTACATTACTGTGATCCTTGGAACTATTGTTCTACTTCTCTTATTATCTTCCATGGCAAGTAACGTTGCTGTGCAAGTGAAGCTTTCGGTTTTAGATTGTTCTGCCTTCCTATTCTAGAACTGAAATTTTAGTTTACGTGTACGGTGTTATGTCATGCTGTTTGTGCTGAACTGTAGCCTTCTACAAATGCCCTTGCTCTTGCTTCTAAGTCTAAGAATACGTAAATGAAGCAGTGATGACAGTATTGTTGTTTGATTCATAAATTTTAGTTACTGCATAATTTGGATTTTTCCCATCAATTGATTGGTCTCTGTTAACGCCATCTATTGTTCAGCTTTATTGGAAATGTTCCTGAACAGGGTTTACTTTCATATTTTGGGCTCCTGCAGGTCATGGTGAATCAAATGGGAAGTCAGGGAGAGATGGATTATCTGATTGCCGCCTGATGGATCTTAAAAATGGAACAGAACTTGTGCTCACTTATGAGGACAAGGATGAAGATTGGATGCTTGTTGGTGATGTTCCGTGGCGGTGAGTAATGCTTATACCGCAAAATTTGTTTCCTACAATCGTAAGCAATGATGATGTTTTAATCCGTATCAGTGTATCTGCAAATATCAAACTAGCTAGTGAAGTTTTAGTGACTTCTATATTTCCATCTTCGCATGACCTTATGCCTTGCTTGTTTGATGGATTGACTTGTTCTGGTAGGATGCAAAGTTTACTATATTGTTTTCTACTTGTATATGAAATCTAAAAAGGCCTGATACTATGGTTCCTGACAAGTCACGTCCCATTTATAGTGAATACTTTATCTTTCATTAGAACACCATATAGCTGTTAGTCAAAGAAAGTAGTGAAGTTGAGAAATATTTGGGTTATGGTAACAAATGTCTAATTGCAATCCTTGTGTCATATTCACCTATATTAGTGGTGGGTCCTATATTTCGTCTCCTTACTTGAACAGCCTTTATTTTAGGTTATTTCCTGAAATTTCATGGTCTGCAGTTCTGCGCTGCATTTCACTTCCTGGCCCACCAAGTTTACACACATTCCAATGAGTTCTTGGCTTGAGACCAGAACATGCTATTCTTAAAAGGCCACTTGACGTCTATTTTTTTTTATTTGTTGTATTGCAGAATGTTCACAGACAGCTGTAGGAGGCTGAGGATTATGAAGGGGTCAGATGCAGTGGGCCTTGGTAAGTACAGATCCCATGTGGTACAATATTGAAGTATTGCATGTGTCCATGCCTTTTTATCTGGAAGCATAGAAGAGAATTTACTGTATGTTGCTCTGCATAAGTGCATAATTACACCTTATATATGCTTTACACATAAAAATCAGAAGTGCCAGTTTGCATGGACTAGGTTTGGTCCGAGCCCTTAACTATGGGACTAAGATATCTGGTTATCCTATTCTTTTTATGTATCTGACAGAGAATCTCTGTGTATCAGGAAAAAATGTGTCCTCTGTTAACCATGGGCAATATGGCATCTTATTCTTTGTGCTTATTTCATACTGAGAATGTTATAATTTATTTACCATCATTTTTCAGCTCCAAGAGCCACTGACAAGAGCAAAAATCGGAACTGAGCAAAAGATGAACCCAATATGAATATCCGACCCCTACAATCACATCACTTTTACTTGTAAGGTCCCATTCTCTAAACCACAAGGGTAATGGTCTAAGTTGCGAGAAGGGGATTACTTATACCTATGTGTCACCCTCTTTTTTTTTTGTTTTTATTTGTACCAATTATGTTAGATTTTAAGCGTAAGTTGTGTAAGTTCCTGTAAGTTGTCTACTTAACCTTGCTTGTAGTTTCTTCTGTAAATTGTTGTGCTGTATGATGCAAACTATTTTTGGTATTTTACTTGGTGCTTGCAAGTTGCAATTGTCCGTGCAAGTCTTGTGTCTAGTTTGTAAGAAACTTCCATTCCTTCTGATGATCTATGAACTTTGCCCCTCTCTGGTGCTCGAAGGGCCAGATTACTGTTCCTTCAGGGCAGTTAGGAGCTGATCATTCTCATCACTGATTGAGTCATCAGCTTTCTGTTATGCATACAATTCCATCATATTGTGGTGATAATTCTAGCTGTTAGGAGATCACATCAGGTTGTCATGACCTCTCTTTTCTGTCCTAACTCCTAAGGCAGTGCACTAGCTTAATTGTTTCAGTTAGTGGCACTGTGACATCTCAAAACCCCTATACACACAGGGTATAGCTGGTCCAGGTTCCTGAGTTCCTTTTGGTGTCTGGTCCTTTCCAGCTCCTATGCAAGCAGCATGCACTGCAAGATGGTGCAAAACCTTGTTCCTTCCAATAGTGGCCTTCAATTCAATCAGTGCTTTGGTTAGTGGGGGCCTTCCCATTCCATCCATCAGTTATCCTTTTTTCTTGATGCCATCATACTGTCCATGGAAAGGAGGAGGGTAAGAGGCTTCCTTGCAATCATTCACCCAGCATCAACTAGAGAAGATGAAGAATATATATGTTAACATAAAAAAGACCCCTTGAAATGTCAGATGGTGGCTATGTTGCCGCGAATTTAGGCTTTCTTTTGTTTCTCATCTTGTTGTTGCTAAAGGGCTTTTCCCCTTGTTGAGTTCTTCTGCAGATATACATAAACAAATTGTGATATGCATTGATCAAGTTGATCAAACAAAACAGAGATTCAGATTCTTGATTGTTTTAGCAGTGGCTTGGTAGTGGGCATATGCATGTGGTTATGTGGTGCACTTGAAAGGAAGGATGGAAGGAATATAGTTTGTTCCATCTCCACAATGTGCTGCTTGATATATGGGTAGGTGTCCTGTCATGCTGGAACCAGAGGAGATTCTTATATACGTCCTGTCTTCTCTGCCTCTGCCTGCCTGTGCTGTTTTGCTCATGCTTCTTGCATGATACCATTAGATAAGGGAAGGTGAGAGGAAAACCTTGGCAATGCTTTGCTTGACCTAGCAAATTTAACTTGCAAGGGATAGACTCTGTTCTTCTCAGCTATTTTACCAGATTATTGCCACAAAGTATCTGCTTGACATCTTTAAAAGTAAGTTTTCTTAAAAAAACTTTCGTGTGCTGCATTGCTAAGGTCCGCCCAAGCTCATCGATGAACACGCAATAAAAAGTTGGTAAATATTGAAAACACTAAACAGATATTGTAGTAAACATGATTTGTTTGGTTTGGTTTGGTTAGTGGTGAAACAAGAGAGGTTAGTTTGCGGCGAATAATTCTGATTCCTCCTCATGCTCAGCAGCTGCATGTGGTTGCATTGCATGCTCGACAATTGGTTTTGTGTCGCCTTTTTGGTTGGTGTGGGCAGAGGCGTGTATCGATCGGTGGTCCTTGTGCTGTCCCTGTGCTTGCTCCATTGTGCAGTAGCGTCGCTTTTTGTTTGTTGCTCGGTTGCTCTCGACTAATCCTCCGTTTTTTTAATAAATCGGTCCTTTTCAAAAACTTATTTTAAAACTAGTCCTTGCAAAAAAAACTTCAACTAAAAATAGGTCAGGGACTCAGCGCCATTGACCTTGGCGCTAAGCTATAACGTTTCAGCGCCAACGTCGTTGGTGCTAAGCTCTAATCCGAGGTGGCGTGAGTTCGCTGAGTCATCGTAGCTTAGTGCCAAATAACTTGGTGCTGAGGTCCCAACGGTTTAAATAGTAGCACAAGCAAAATATAGAACCAAAACTGTGATAGCCTGGTGGTTGATTGCTTCGGTTGTGAGCCCAAAGATGCCAGGATCGAATCCTTATATCCCTCTTCTCTGGTTTTCTTTTGTATTTTTGGGTTTTTATCTCTTGCCTACTCACTCTTATTGTTTACAAAAATGATTGTTCCGTTTGTAAATTTGTTTTATTTTGAATTTTATTTTGAGTGCCAATATGAAAGAAGTATATGCTCCTTTCAAATTCTATAATTTATTTTATTTTGAATTTTATTTGAAATTTCAGTTTAAGTTCTTATTTGCCATATAATATAACTACTTCAATATATTTTTTTCAAATTCAAAAAAAGTTGCATATTAAACATATATTTTGAAGATAGTATTACGAGAAAAAAAGGAAAAAAATAAATAAAGATAGAAAAAAAATGAGATAAAAATAAAAAAACATATATTAATAATGAGTGAGAGAGAGAAGAAAAAGGGAAAACTAAATAAAGATAGAAAAAGAAAATGAGAGAAAAGAAAAAACATATTATTAAAGAGTGAGAGAGAGAAAAAGAAAAAACAAAGAGTGAGAGAGAGAAGAAAAAGGGTAAACTAAAAAGAAAAGAGTGAGAGAGAGAGAGAAAAAGAAAAAACAGAGAGAGAGAAGAAAAAGAGAAAACTAAAAAAACAAAAATAGGTGGGATGGGAAACGAACCCTGCTCCTTAAGGTTAGAGTAGACCTCCACTAACATTGTGCTATCAATGGGACTTTGCTAGATATGCCTCTACATTAATTTAAACTGTTGGGACCTCAGCGCCAAGTTATTTGGCGCTGAGCTATGATAACTCAGCGTACTCACGCCACCTCGGATTAGAGCTTAGTGCCAACGATGTTGACGCTGAAACATTATAGCTTAGCGCCAAGGTCAATGGCGCTGAGTCCACGGCCTATTTTTGGTTGAAGTTTTTTGCACGGACTAGTTTTGAAATAAGTTTTTAAAAAGGATCAATTTGTTAAAAAAACGGACTAATCCTTGTTGTTTGGAGCAACGTACATATATAAGTCGTCTCTTCCGTATGTGTTCCCTGATTTTGTTTTAATTAATATTTTTTTCTCGAAAGATATGATATTGTTAGAGTAAATAGTATATGGGGCCTCCTACATTCGCAGTTACATACAATAAGGCCGATAAATAATATATGTTGGAAATCACATCTAGGTAAAACCAAACCAACCATGCTATAAAGGTTTCTAAAAATTTTGAGAAAAATCTCACATGTAACTAAGGTGATATTAGACAACTGGTAACGGAGTTGAATTTTTGATAACTTTGTAGTGTTGTTTATTTACATCTTACCTATATGTATATGTTTTTAAATGATTTTTTCTTTAATTGTTTTTTCTAAGTTTTCACCTAATATGGGATATCCACCGGCCCTTTGCTGACATCAGTGCTTAGCTTATCCTTTGAGAAAATAAATAATAATTACGCAATAAATTCGGTTTAATTCTAGAAAATCATTTTCAAAACTTCTAAAATTCATATTAATACATACGAACTCCAAATTGAGCCATTCAACTTGCAAAATTCATCTAAAATTGAGATCTACATGTTTGTTTACTTTTTATGTACTGTTTACTTGGTTTTTATTAGGGTTTTTCCTTGTTTTGCGTGCCAGTGTGTAGAAGCCGTCGTTTCGGATGTCCGCGGTCGCGAGGAAAAGAGTTCGGAAGATCGTTTGAAGAAGCAAGGCGTCACACATTCCCCTTGAGCATATTGAGCCTACTTTACAAATGTTTTACTATTTGCAAATAAATATGTATGTTTTGCTAATTACATGGGATCAAGGTTTACCTATCTGCTTGCTTGTGCCATGTTTACTTGATATCTGACCTTTGTCAATCGTGGGCGATAAATCGACTAGCTTGTGTTACTTATGTTGACCTAGCTAGAACTATATGCTTAGCCATGCTTAATTACCACTAGCTCAGTTGATGGGATAATTGCACTATTAGACCTTTTTAGTATCAGAACGAATTGCGTGCTTGAGACATCTGGCCATGTTTCATGGTCGTAATTATCCATCTAAAATGCGACTGAATGGTGGACTGTGGGTGCATGGTTTTGCGAGTCGCACCCATGGCAATTAAGGACCGGGTCACGGGAAACCCTGGAAGACTTACAATGCTTACCACAAGCGGGAGTGGGTAACTGCTTGATCTGAAGTATAGCTCGACCCTTTCCTAGGCACCGGTGGCGAGGGTGGGTGTGATGGAGTTGGGTCGGCCGGGGTGTCCGGTTGTCCAACTGCCGGATTCACCGCGGTGCACGAGGGGACTGCCCACCTCTGGGGTAGGGGGTGGGAGGGTGGGGGTGAAACCTTAGCGTGGTGTGGATGGTTAGGGGAGGGTTATGCGAAGGGTCTTGTCACAATCACTCGACATGGTGACGTGTCAGGCCTGGCGCGGTGACATGCTGGTGGATTGTGTCTTGTGGGTACAGTTGTGCACCTCTGGCCAGAGTAAAACTATTCGAATAGCTGTGCCCGCGGTTATGGGCGATCGACCAGATTCACCGTGATTAGTCTCACACTTAATAAATCGACCCAATGCACTGTAGTTTAGGTGGGTTGGTTGGGCCTGTTCAACGTGGTGTAGCGTTGATCAGTGGAGATTTAATGTTACTTTAATTACTCAACAGTTTTACCGTTTTGCTTAATGAAATGTTTTACAACCGCCTTTATGCAAATAGCCACAAACCGTCCTTATATCCCCTTGCACGTCTGCATCATTGGTGTGGCTTGCTGAGTATGGTGGCTGTACTCAGCCTTGATATTGTTCCCCATTTTCAGAAGTGTAGTGCTTCTGAGCTGTAGATGAAGTTAGAGGACCAAGGCTCAGACCCCAGTTGAGTTTTGCCTGTGGAGTGAAGCTGAAGCCCCACTAGGATCGTCTTTTCCGTTGCTGCTGCTTTCTTTTCTGTGTGAGGACTAAGTGCCTCTTCTATAAGTATTTACGCTTTATTTACATTTGGAACTGTATATTACTTGTCGTTTTGTGTACCCTGACTGGTCCTGGATAAGGATTTAATACACAAAATAATCTGGAAATTTAGGGCTAAATTTCTGGGCGTCACATATACCTTCCGCCAAACAAGGCAAGATTGCATAAACCACCTTAATTATCAGTCTAGTTTTGAGATTCCACCTCATAACATATTTTATTGCAAAAGCCCATCCACCCAACACACATGAGTGGCTGATTTGGCCCATCTTCCCATGTGTATTCACAA